CCCCCAAAACCCCAAAACCCCAAAACCCCTGTTTTATTAATAAAATTGAAAATAATACAAATAAACTACTCAACCCCTGCTGGCCACCTAATCCCCAAAATCCTCCCAAAATCCCCCTCAACCCCAATACACCTCCCAAAATCTCACTTCACACACACAAAAATTCCCCTTCCACCCCTTCCCCCACTCAATGTCCAATCCACGCCCACATCCAAAAATCCCTTCCTCAAAATCCCGAAACATCTTTATAAACCTAAACAGCACATTCTCAAATACAGCTCTGACCCAAGTCTCCAGCATGAAGAGCAAGGTAAAATTCCTGAAGACTAGAGAAAACCCTGCTCTTCCTTCTGATAAGAAGAGTCCTTCTTGTCGGAAGGAAGAGAAGGACCTTACTTTGGTGCTGAGGAGTTTTAAGTTGGGTAATTATACATTAGGGAATGCTCCTAAAGTACATGAAAGCTTCCAGTTTTCAGGTAAGACATCTGGAAAGCCTGAATATACTTTCCATAGATTCATGTTCAAGAAAAGCATATTCGAAGTACCATAAGCAAACAAGGTAAGAGTTGAGTTAATTCCGTGTGTAGCAAAAGCCCCTATATTAATGAAACTGCCCATGAGAATAAGCTCTTCAGTAATGTTGGGGTAAAGCAAAGTCTATCAGTTACTAAGCTGACCAGGAGTAAGAGTGCTCGTGACTTTTAGGCAAATAAGCTTATTAAGAAAAAGAAAAATGCATCGAAAAGTATGATTTTGAGAGTATTTTTAGGTAAATTTCCGAAGCTTTCTGTAATGAGACGGTAAGTGTTAAGAGTAAGATTTTAGAAACTTCCTTGACATGAGAGATTACTCGGGCTACAAAGGTTCAATTAAGATTACAAAGACGTTGCAATAAAGATATCCCACATTAACCGATTCCAGAGTAAGTTTTTGTAGTAACTATTTTTAGGGAATCAATCAAAAAGTACCGTTGGATTAGTCTAATGAAGTTTAGAGAAGACTCAGAAGATAATGTCACCTTCTAAACTCAATCAAATTATAAGTAAGCTCTAATTGCGATATTGGTTTTTAGGTGTCAGCAAGAAATGCCTGGAAAATCATAACAAAGTTTTATACTTTCATAAGAAGTCAAATCATTCGTGTAGAAGAGGAGAGGAGATCAACAAGCAGTACTCCTCCATGAAGAATTTTAAGCGAGCTAAGTATAACAAGATTGGTAAGTATAGCCTCCGGATTATAATCCTATCAGAGTAAATAGGGGAATCTCTGAAATATTTGAGAATGAAAAGACTCTAATATTTCAGATTTTCTAAATAAAAATGATAAATAATACCAATACGGTTATTGGCAATTGGTATCTGCTATCCTCATGGGATTTACTAATAATGTCTTGATATAGGTGCATCTAGACCTTTATTTTTCCCTCAGAAGGAGGAATGTACTCTAGCACATTTACCAGCAGCAGGGATCTCTAAAAGTCCTGAACGTAAGAGTGAATCAAATTCTTCATGTGATGTTACAGACAATAAATTCTTTTATAAGCCGAAATATTAGTTCAATTAATATAGTCAAGCGTGGGGTTTTGGGGTTTTGGGGTTTTGGGG